CTCTGGTGTGAGCAGTGGTGGGCAGAGCACCCTTTAGGATGTCACTTTGACACCTCTCAAAGAATTTGCAGCTCTAGCATTATTTTGGCTGGGGATGCTATTCAATCAACATGCCAAGGTGCTTTGCAGAGGACACTGAAGTGACTCTCAATGTTCTACATAAACAAGATGTTTTGTATTATCAATATCTCCTTTGTATTCCAATTGTATGTCAGTACTGGTAGAACCTACTGATGCTAAGACCAGCTTCAGCTTTTGAAGTTTGGGACAATAACAAAATAACCTGCTATTTTTTTATGTTAGTAATAAAATCTGCCAGCAATGATGATTTGATTGTCGCCTTAACAAGAAGCCTAGCCAAAGGAAACCTTCTCAATAAACAGGAGATGAAGGAAGTGGATGGGTTGGCTGTGGATTTTCTAAATCTAGTCCAAGAAGCTGGTAGTTATGCTTAAAGTCTTAAATTTTATTTTGGACCCCATCTTTCCAAAAGATTCCTTGGGGGACAAAGAGAAATTGTAGCATTTGCCACTTCTTAGGATAAAAGTTTTGAGAAATGAAGCAGAGCCAAATTCTATAATTCCTGTTTTCCTGAATCCATCAGAAGCAGCCAAGGAGCAAGGACGGAAGCACTGCCCCAGCATGGCAGGCTCTCCTAATTGCCATCTTCCTTGGGCATCCCATCCTCTTTCTCCACCTGCCCTGCCACATGGTCAGCCATAGGGATTATCCTGGGCCTTGGGGCTGGGGGAATGGGTGCCCTTGTATTGCACTTTAATCCATCTGGGGGACTGCAGCTGCATGTACATAATAACCAGATAGTTTGTTGAGTTTATATATATACATATATATATGCTATGTTCTCGCTCTCTACTTTTTTCTATATATAACATAGCAATGCCACTACAACTATAGGCATGCTACATGGGAACATATCTTTCCTATGTAATCAGTCCTTAGGCATCAGTGTTGCCTAAGTGAGGTGGAAAGAAGCTGGTTTATAGTGCACTCCTAAGCAGACAATTTCAACTTTTGGCATCTCTTCCCCAATATCTCCACCACTGGTGAACATGTGAATGTAATGTTGGCTCACCACAGTCTGGCGCAATGGATTTTACAATAGAGCATTTTGATAACACCATAGACTTGCATGTGAGTAAGACTTCCAATACAGCAGCACAATTTATTCCCACTTCCAGTGTAATGGAGTCTTCCTGATTATTTTCACAGCACTGTACAAGATTTTTTGTGTTGTTTTTTTTTTTTCCCCTGTTGCACAAAAGGAAAAAAGCTCCTAATATGTTCCTGAAATTCCTTGTGAAGCTAATGTGACTTGCTCTATCAGCAAGAGAATGATACTAGAATGAACGAAAGTCAATATTTTTTCTCAAAGTTTCTTAATATTCAGTCCTCATATGGTGTAGGGGATTAAACTCTCAATTACACAAAGGCAAATACACAGAAATCTGTCAAAGTTAATAGAGTTATTCTCGACACCTGAGTAATTTGTCCCTTGGTATGATTCATTCTCCACAATCCACACTGAATGTCCATAATGACTGCTTCTATTCACTTACATTTTTAGCTCTGTTATAATTCTATTTTTTTCCATGTTTCACAAATTGCTGGAGTCAGTTTCTTTCAGATGATGCTGTTTCCCCAACTTGGCTTCCCTATGAATAACCTCCATCATCACTATGCTACTTTTGCTTGAATGTTTCATTTTTAACAATAAACATCTATCCCAGATGCCTTATTTTCAGCTTCATTAAATGTTTTACTAGTTCATATTGAGTCATGTCAATATTTACCTTGGACACGATTCCATATCCTTTAGTTTCTAATACCAGAATTCTCCAGACAAGCTTATTGTTCCTGGCTTGACTTCTCCAAGTCACAGCTTAAAAATTTTTGACATACTAAGTAAGATGCAAATTCACCCAACTATTTGCTTTGCTGAGTGCTGCCAGTTATGTCTATTCCAAACATCTCTGAACTGATTTACTTCAATTTCTGTGTGCACATGGCCCCCAAACCTGTAACCAGTTACTCTGAGATAATTTCAAAGCCATTTGATAACAGCAATTAGCAGAAGAGAAAGCAGAAATCAGATATCAACTTTCTGGGTGTAGTACCACAACAGATCATTTCTACTGACCTTTTGCATCATAGAGAAAGGGTGTCAGGAAACCAGGAGGGATTGAGGGATTTCCACCCCCTGCACCTTCATGCTGGTCCTCACTGCACAGCCCCGGGTACTTTTCTGAGAGATAGGACTGCATTTCTTCACCCGAGCTCTCTCCCCTGCTCCTGACCAGAAGGGCTGATTTTTTCCAAGCCATGCACATCATGGAAGTCATTCTGCTGCTTCTTGTACTAAGCTGTGTACTGAGCAGGTCTGAAGAAAAATAGTGAGAACCAGCAGGATACCATGTTTACTGGACAGGACGACAGCAGCAGAATGTAAAGGTGGGTGGAACAGATTCTGCCCCTTTGGCAGCTGCGTAAGAGCAACCTCTGTCTTTGACAAGAAGTTGGCAAGAACTAGAGTATGGTAATGACAAGATGTGTAAAGGAAAAAAAGCCATGGGCATGGAGAGGAGTAGCATGGGTGTCAGGGGATGGTTTTTGGGGGAGTGGACAGCCAGTCTCTCTGTGGGACCCCAGTGTAAGGGATATCTGAAACAGCTCAGTGTGCTCATCCCCAAGTAGTCCGGACTTGTTGACCACAGAGCCATCTGCATCCAGGATGCTCCTCATTGCTGTAACATGCTTGCTTGAGCAAAGTTGCTCTAAAAACGTACAAGACAATGGGAAACAAAAGTTTGAGAAGTGGAATTTTCTCAATAATTTTCTCAATCTTTATACTGAGTTTACTTCAGGTCCTTTTTCAAAGCAGTAGCACAAAAAATGTAGTGTGACGTTTGATATATTTTTATTTTATATTCATGTACTGCACTGGAATAAAACATTTTGAATTTTATATTGGATATAAAAAAGCAAAGGTGTCAAGCTGTGAAAGTGCTTTGAAAATAACAAAGGACTTTATGTGGGATTGTTTGAGGTCATTTTATCTGTTGTTCCTGACAGTATTTAAATGCCTCCTTTCAGTCTGAAATGCCTTTGGTTGTCATTCACTGAAATCAGTGGTGGAGACTAGCAAGGCAGCTGGGCACATACCATAAGGGGTTACATGGGGAAAGATTTTGAGATCTCCAAAGCAAGTATTATACCTCTGCTGTGCACCTATGTTTCACAAGAGGTGTCAATTTGGACTAAAGGAGTAAGCCACCTTCTTTTGAGAGAGGAAACAATTTCACATCATGCTGACTTCCCCAAGCAAACTAGTTTTAGGAGCAGGTCAAGGAGATGGCTTTAGCTCTCAACCCAGGTGTGCAACAGTTCTCAGATGAAATCCAGGGTATTAATATGAGTTCACACTGCAACAATTTCAGTGATGGCCACATATGCAGATACATGGGGCTAGTTCTGAAATACCTTGCTTAGATGCTTTAGCAACAGCAGCGCAAGTAAATAATTTGTGTATTTAGCTCACATGCTATTGCTAACATCCCAGAAAGACTCCATCGGCACAGTGTAATGAAGCTAATATTTCTGCGCACCCTAGACCGCATTACAGCTTATAGACAGTTCCCCTCTGCTTTGACCCAGAAGGGCTGTACTGCCAAGAGGACAACAGAGGCTTTATTTGTTTTTGAAAGAACTTGCTCACCTCTAAAGCAGAGGTGGTTGTTCTCCTTTTTCGTCTAAGCCAGAATCAGAAACAGTTTGAAACTGGGATATTCAAATTCCCTTCTCTGCCTTATGTTCCCCTGCACGTATACTCCAGTGAAAAAAAGCAGCTTGGTACGGGAAGGGAGATGACACAGGATGCGGGACCACTGTCTCCCACAAACATATGCGGCCAAAAGATAAAAGGGAATGGTTGAATACTAGATTAAATGCAAGTTTCATGTAAATGATCACTTACAGAGACCTAATAAACGATTCTGTGCAATGCACTGTCAGAGATTTTTCTCTTCCATTTTTGTTTTGCATGTGTATTTAGGAGCTTCTCCCCCTTGGAGGATAATGTTCAGGTTTTAAAATTTATATTAATCTGTCATTACATTCATCTGTCACTCTGTGAAAGGGCTTCTTTTTTAATAAAGTGTCCTTTTTTCTTTTTAATGTGTTTCATATCAGAATGGAGTATTTAGAATAAGCCCTTTCAACAGCAGTACTTCACAGGGTGGGATAACATGCAGGAAGATTGCTTTTTGTGTAGTATGATCTCTTTCAACCCAAACAACTAATCAAAGTTTTACAGGTTTTGTATTTGCCCTGGTGGGGAACTGGCAAGGGTCTTCACTGCAAATCTCTGCTTCCAGTGCACAGGACTCAACTAGAGACAGTGGCTTTGCTGACAGATGCCCAACAGTTCTTTCAGGCAGGACTTGTACTTTACCCACTCTCACCTCCTGGTCTGGTGCAGTTCTGAAAATCCCTCTGTGAGGTTCAGCCTGTGCAGAGGGTGCCCATGAAATCCTCGTGTTTCTTGTTGCTGTCATACAGTTTTACAGGCTAACTGCTTGCCGAGGGTCTCACTGGAGTCTACAGCTGAGCCCCTGTGACCACAGAGGACACCTTTCACTCTGCTGCTTCAATGCTTCTTTTTCTGAGCTTGCTTTACCTTGTGACCTAACTAAAAATGGCATCATATTACTGTGTCACGATCGGTGTGTTCACTTCCGCTCATTCACTCTCTGCTGGTATACTTTCAATTATTCTTTCCCTGAATTGTTTTTGTTTTCTATTTTTTTTCTTCCCATCAAAATACCTGGAAGAATTCCAGTACCTTTTTCCTGATGCTAAATATGAGCATTTTATTTGCTAATGTCCACTTGAATTTGATCTTGAACAGCATAATATTACACACAGTATTTCACATAGGGCCCATGATATTAGTGCCAACTGCAAGATAGGGATGATAGTCCCACCTGTTTGAGTTCTGATTTCTCCTCAGCTCTGGGAATTTCCATTTCACTTGTCTTTATTCCCACCAGCCATCCTGCATTTGGCCATATGATCGCTTTCCTTCCTGGAACATGAAACAGAGAGGACAGTCATTCAGCCTGCAGGTCATATACCTAGATTATCTTTCATCACTAGGCAGCTTTGCTGACACCAATCTGATTTCTTCTTTTAGAACAAGGGGAAAACCCTTCATGAAAAGACAGAAGATGCAAGGATGCTCCTAATTACTCAGTGAAAAAAGGTTCAAGGCTCAAATCTTATTATCAGCCTCTATAGTGGAAATACAGTGACTCCAGTATAAGCAGAGGAAGCACAATGGTGTAGCTGAGATCCAGATCAAGATAAAGGTTTTGGAATATGCTGCTCTGAGTTGCCTTTTTTCTTATATTTATACACATATATTTTATTACAGACATCTCATCTCCTGCTTTATGAGTTATTTTGAAGGTTTACTGAATCTGAGAAAGTAGAGCAGGAGTTCAGATTATGAACTTTGACTGCTCATGGTTTATTCAATATTTTTAATAAAGTTTGAAAAGATTCCCTTCCATCAAAGAATGTCCCCTTTGATTAATCAATTGAATTTCGTATTTTCTCCATGAAGAATACAAAGCAGCATACCCCTTTGCCAGTTGTTTACAGGCAGCTTTGCAGCACACAATGGAACAATTATTTTCTAAGTAAAAAAGCTGTGATCAGAAATGTTAATAAACCACTTAATAATATAGCATCTTTTTCTTCTATTAAAAAAACACACAATAAAGACATACAAAGCCATTTTTCATATAATCTGCATACTTTCCAAATTGCATATTCAGGGAAACAAGAATTGTCTCAAATGGCCTTCTTCACATTTACATCTGTAACAGCTGCAGTAGCAGTTCTGTCAGGTTTGATTTTATTCAGTGTTGCAGGATCAACATAAAATCTAGGCTGAAAATTAAAGGGAGTAAATGTCCCCCTGACAGTCAAGAGAATGATTTTGGTCCAAGAGTATTTCTGGCCACAACTCACTTTCAAAAGCAGCTTTGTCATTTGTGCCTGGCCTAGTCCCAATAAGTGCTATTATGATTTGTTACATTTTCTATAGAACCAGGAAACCACTTATTAGCCCCATGGTATTGTATTGAGCTTCAATTATGTAACAGTCATTATTCTGCTGAATATCCAAAGCTTTGTAAGAAAGTTTTAGTTCTGGAAAGAAACGTACAAGGTTCTCAAATGATTTTGAGAAAGATCAATCTCCCCCTTTTTTTGCTAGTTGAAAGAGGAAAGGTCCCTTCTTGATATAAATCATGAATAATGTGAATAGACTTTTTTCTAAAGAAAAACTCCTTTTTCTTTGAAAGCCATTGATAGCTTGGGATTCAAGCAGAAAGGAATAAAAGAAGAAATAATAGTTTCTTCCTAGAAGAGAACATGATAGGTATGCGTCCAAATTAGCGAGATTTTAATTTAATTATAACCCAGGAGTGTGCGTGCATGTGTGATTTGCCTGCTTATAAGCGAGGAATGAGGGTCTCTCTCACATGGAGTGTGGAAGAGGAGGGGGCAGGTCTTCAACTGGTGTTAAGCCTTGCTAGGGGCCCCTTCATGCTGTTCTTGCAAAGATGATGCAAGGATGCAACCCACAGTCCTGTGTGCTTATTTAGCTGCCCTTTATGGTTCAACAACACAAACTGTTGATACCTAATCAAATCTCAGTGCCCTCCCATTTCCAACTGGTCTGAGCCATCTGCACCTCCCAGACTTGACAATAAATTAACTACCATAAAGTAACTAGGTAACTGGTTACCTGACATCATCCTCTTTCTATCATCCTTTAGTGTTCGAAAAAAAACCCACAACCCCAAAACACATATTTTTAAAAAGCACTGACATAAAAATAAAAATTCATCAGCTCCAAGCAATTCTGCCCTTCAGAAGTCATTTTACATGATTGAAGGCTTCAGCTTCCAGTTCTCAGAGGCTTCTCCAGTTCTCAGTCAGGTGTGAATTTTTCTCTGCTCTTTCAACAGCCAGACAGGGCAGTTCCTGTAACCAGGTAAGAGTCAGTCCAGCTGCTGGCTCTGGGTTTTGTTTTTAGTTGAAACTGAAATGCACCACACACACAATGCACATACAACACATACATGCAACAGCTGCTCTGCCTTAGAGTAGCAGGACTCCCTGGTATTCTTAGGAAATGGAAAAGCAATGTTCCCAAGGCTGTCAGGTACCCAAAATGATATTTCTTTAACGTATGATCAGTTCAACTGGTATTTTAGTAAAATGACTCTAGCTTTATGCCAGCTGAAGAGAAAGTAGAAAGCAAATCAATAACCTTGGGTTTTTTTCAGATAGACTTCAGTATTTCAAAAATGCACAGCCAATGGAAATCTGCTGCCAAGGTTGCACCCATATTACAAACCCAAACAATTCAAACACCGCTGCTACAACTCGGTGTAACTACAGCCGTTGCATAGCAAGCATATGTATGCTTGAGTGCATGTTTTGCCCTCTGTGAGGACAAGCAAGAAGAAAGCAAGTGATACTACATTTTGACTACAACCATGTCATACCCTGGTTATTTTTGCAGTATAAATGAGTTATATATAGGTCAAATGCATTTGCATTTCATTCACTAATTCTACTCAGAGCACCATTCAAGCTCCCTTACTTTTCGCAGTAACAGGAAAGAGTTTGGATACCCAGTATATGCTAAAAAAAAAAAGTGAATTGAAGTAGAATGCATTTGCAAGTTGCACATTTATTGGATCAAGTGAAACAAGGCATCGAGCCAGAATCTGATCTTGTTTGCCACTATGCAAACGATGAGTAAGTCTGCTAGGGTCAACAGAGCAGCAGTGGAGTCACATGAGTCACAGCACACTGCTCTTCGGAAAGATTGCTCTGTGGCTAAATATACTATTACAGTTGCTTCAAGAAAAGCTCTGCATCAAGTTCTAATAAATGCTGGCAGTGATAAAGCCTAAAGGATGAACAGGAATTAACAAGTGGCCTTAAAATCTTATTGAAGAGAATGGAAGTTTTGTCTGCACAAGAACTGAAGAAACAGAACTTTGGTAATGACCTAATTTTTCCACCACCCACATTTAGCCACCTTGGTGGGGGGGTATGGGGGTGGAGCAGAAAAGGAAACAGATTTTTTTTTTCAGGATCCAAGTGCAGAAAATACTAAACTCAATAGATTAAGTTTGCACAAGTTACCCCTCAAATATGTGATAACTGAGTTAGTTTCACTATCATTTTAATCAGGCTTGTCCCAGTAAACAATGCCTTGCTCCTCTCAGGGAATGCATTAAACAAACCCACTGTTATCAGTGAATGGGAACAGCCACACCAACACCAACACAGCACTCTATCCCAGTGATGCAGCAAAATGATAATTACAATAAATACCCTTCATATCTCCACCTGGTACACACAGTGCTGAATTTGGAAAAATGAGAAACCGTAAAAGAGAAGGAAGCCCTTTGGTCTTTTCTTTTTTTCAGTGGGATCATAATTTAGTGCTGTTACAACAATAGTTTTAGGTAACTAAAACTGCTTGTCAAATGTAGGTTTGCATTTTTTATCAGAGCACTGAATTAAGAGATTTCATAATTCCTTGTGAATTGCTCTCCTACCTAGTCTTTCCACTGGAAACCTGACTAAATGAGTATTATTTCTTCTTAAGTGGTTTTACAGGTCGTTTATCTTAGATTTATGAGTATCAACCTACTTTAGAAGGTATTAGATAGCTTTAACATTTGACACGTATTCTCTAAATCATTTACAGTGCTCTCCATTTGCACTAGACGATCAGTAATCTTCTCAATATTAGGTTTTATTGACAATGCACCATATAGAGTACTTATTATATGTAATGATTTAAGATAGGTGCAAGATTTGGAACTAATAAATCCAAAAGCTCATTTTTGATTGTTGACACAGAGCTGAGAAATAATGTGCATCTGTCTAAATCACACTGTTTCTCAACAACGTAACACACATACATGTTTAATCTGTTAGGAGCGCAGTGCAGAGATGTGCAAACAGATCCTAACTCTTGCATTGAGCTTGATGCTTAAAGCTCTGCATTTACTCAGAGTAAACCACCAGTGGGTGTGAGACTCCTCTATCTCATGGAAGTGCCTGCATCTGCCTTACACCATGTGGCAGGTGCAGGGGACTCAGCCCAGGTCTTCTGGTTCCTGAGCGCTGGTTCATGCCCAGCTCCACCTGGCTCATTGCAGGCTACTGCTGCTACTGTCCAAGCCAACAGGCTCAAGCAACTCAAACATGACTCTCTTACACTTGAGTCACACTTGAGATCAAGAAGCATTTTGCCTGAGTAGGCAGGTAGTAAAATTCAGATTAAAGGCTTAAAAATTACCCCCATAATTTATATTTGGAGACAATATCAAAAGCTGTCATATGTAACTAAGACAAACCTTCATGTAGCCCTACACAATAATAATTTCACAGAAATATTGGCATTGATAGTAATTGAATTCAGTTGAATAATTGATTTGACTTCTTTAATAGAAGATCAGCCCCCGTATGTATATTACTCACAGAAAACTGTAGTAAAAGAAAAAAAAATTAAAGCAAGAGTCCTTGGTAGCAAATGAACATCTCTCCACTGAGTTCTATAGAATTAAACTCTCATCTGCAACCCGTAATCCAAAGGTGTGTCTTTGAAATGCAGTCAGAGAGATCTGTGTCAGCCCTGCTTTTACAGTATGTCATTGGAAATGCTTTCTGGGGCATAGGAGCTGCATGAACTGGCAATTTGTTAAGTTGAAATGGGACATTTCAGAAGAAGGCTAGAGTGATCTCAGACCAAAACAAACACAAAATCTGAATCCTGCTTTTATCCCAGCAGCCACCTGGCAAGAAAACTCCAGTGAAAAATTGACGTTAGTGGCAAAATTGTCCTGTGACAATTATACATGACTCTAATAGCAGGGAAGCACAGGAAAGAGGCAGCCTCTTCTCACCTTGATCATTTAGAAAAACAATCCCAAACCCCTTACTCAGGCTACAGGTGTGGCAGGCTCACTCAGCTGCCTACAAATGATTTAGTAGCAGACAACTGATGTTACTGAACATTCAGAACTCCAAATTCCAATCAAAATAAAACACCTTTCAAAGCAGCAGAGTGAACATCACTGTTACCTTGTCTTACTTTGGTAAGGGCGGGCACAGATTTGCTGGAGTAAGGCAATGGAGGAGCTAAAAAAAACACAACAAATCCTCCCAAATTAGGGCTCCCTGGCGCCATATGCACACCTCTGGCCTTTACATGAGGGAATGCCTGCAGACCCCCAACCTAACAGCACATTAGCAGGCACTTTACTAACCTGCTGTGAAATAGCAGAAATATCACAAGCTCCATTTTTCCTATTAGTGGAGCTATCTGCCTTCTGCAGTGTGGTATCTACATTTTTGTAAGCTTGTTTCATTCACTTAGTTCCTAAATCAGCAAAATTTAGCTATCTTCAACATCTCTCTGTGCTAAGTGAAGTTTCGTTTACTACTGTGAAGAAGGGAGGAGGTCAAGAAAGCTTGGGAAAAATTGTTAGTATGATCTGTAATATGAATTTGGCAGAAAAGGAATTGAGAACATTTCTTTGGAAAACAATCAAAGGGCAAAGTTTTCCTCTTGGAGCTGCATGGTAATTTATGACTTAACACTCCAAAGAAACTTGCTACTCCGATGATTACAATAGCAAAATATTCACTGTCTGCCTGACAAAGACGGTCATTTTTTCTCCCTTCGGCAGTATCTTGCTATTCAGTCAGGGCCACATGTGTGTCCCTCAACATGTAGATAAAGGTTGAATGATGCATCTCTGCTCAGGAGCATGCACGTTAAATATGGCACAAAATGACATGACAAAAAGTAACAGGGCTGGTGGCAGAAGTGTAGGCTCAGTGTTGCAGAGCATGATGCATGCTTTCTCTTACCTGGATCCCCGCACCTCCTGGCATACATGAAAGGTCAGTGTCTTCATGGTTAACCACTTACACCACCTCAACACACACAGGCTACCAATAAAACTGAGGATCCCGAGAGCCTTGGAGATGAGGAATCTTCAGCCTCCTGTATCCATTCCAGCTGGGGTCCATCAGCAACACAGTATTAAAGTGTGGAACTTACTGCCATCAAACAGTATGGTAGCCAGGAGTACAGCTGAGTTCAAAATAGGACAAATTCATGGAGAAGGTGCCCTTTGATTTCAAGCTACTGTTGGGTCTGGGTGCACAGTCTGGCTCCACAAGTTTCTAAAGTACTTATCAGTGGAAGTGTATGCCTTCATGCAGTGAATCACCCTGAGGGTTCTCTGTTCCTATACTGTTCCCTAAGCATCTCCCTTAGCCAATGCTAAAGCAAAGATCCTGGGACACTGGCTCTGTCCAGTCACATTTCTTATGCTATAACCAATATAACAATAAGAATAGACAAAAAAAATTGTCTTGAGGTTAAAAGATGTAAGATTCAAATTTTAAGAACATGTTGTATAAGAGATCTTCAGAAAGGGTTAAAAAGAGCTAAATGAAAACTTAAATATTCACATAGACCAACTCAGGGGAGGAAGGCAAAATCCTGAGGCCTTTTTTGCAGTCACTGAAGGAACTGGCTTATCTAGCTGGTGCTTCAGAGCACACTGCAGAGGCTTCCACCATGAATCACCATCCATATCAGCATCCCAAACTGATACAGCTCCAGTAGCTTTTTCCAGCAGAGTACCAAACCCAATTTAGGTGAATAGCTTTTATGGATCATTCTTTCTTGTAGCCTCTAAACAATTTCCTCCTCTAGGCCACAGGACTTCCCTCTAACTCCCCTTGGCCGGGGTGCTTGTAGCAACTCACTTTTCCCCCTTTTGTTCTTTGAATCATCTGCATAAACATTCAAACTACATAAAACTGCTAGCAAGCCTAGGCAACACTGTGAGTGCAGAACTCCACATGAACAAAATCTTACGTTTAATGCAGTCTTTGTTGCATCAGTGGCAGCACAGGCTTTATAGAAGTGCTACTATGTAAAAAGTCAGGTTGTTTCTACCCTGGAAATATTTTACATTCTGTTCTTTTGCAGTATTACTAATTTTGAGTTCTGTTTAATGCTCTACATCTGAATGGGACTCTCAATTACAGGAGTCACTGCAACTATCATTTGATTTTCTTTTTTGTCACGTATATGTAATCTGAACCCATAATTGCTGGAGCCCAATGCCTGTTCTGCACACTCAAAATGCCACAACAAAATGGCCTCAAATGTTACATTCAGTTTTGAGTTGCTCATGGCATGCAACGCTGCCTTGCGTGCTTTGTCATTACTGTTACTTCCTGGTGACCCACGGCAGAGAAGTGGAGGTGATTTCACCTTGAATACACTTTCTCCCTAGACTGCAGCCTACAGAAGAACTGTGTAGTTGCATGTTGTGGCAGGGAGTTGTGGTTTAAACCCAGCCAGACAGCTCGTTCACTCACTCACAGTGAGCAGTGCCGGGCTGGAAGCAGTCGAGGCCCGCAACCCTCCCCCTGGGGGTTCTCCCCTTCCTCGCTCCCAGAGGGATGGGGAAGAGAATCAAAAGAATGCAGCTCCCAGGGGTTGAGACAAGAACAGTCCAGCAACCAATGTACAACACAAATCACCATCACTACCACCACCACCAACAATGATAAGAGAAAATAACAAGGGAAGAGAATATGATACCACCCGCCGAAAAACGAGTCCGACCCAGAAGATCCCGTGTCCTTCCAGGTAACTCCCAGTTACTCCCCCCGGGCATGACGTGCTGTGGTATGGAATACCTCTTCGGCTAGCTTGGGTCAGGTGTCCTGCCTCTGCTTCCTCCTGGCTTCCCCTCCTCCCTGGCAGAGCATGAGCCTCACAAAGTCCTTGGTCAGGGTAAACATTACTTAGCAACAACTAAAACCAACGGTGTTATCAGCACTGTTCCCAGGCTGAAAGTCAAAACACAACGCTGCACCAGCCACCAAGGAGAAAAATGACTGCTACTGCTAAATCCAGGACACAGGGGCAGGTATAACACTAGCCTAAAATGAGGGAAGGTGGAGAGGAAAGAGAGGGGGTTAATTGTCCAGTTACCTGCAGTGTATCTTGCTGCTGCATGCCATGCCATACTGGCCGGTGCAACACACAAGTAAATTTCACACGAGTAAATCTCACACAAGTAAATTTCACAAAAGTAAATCTGTAAATGTTAGCTATGAATAGTTTACCAGCCTTGCTATCTCACCTGTCACATCCACAGTCCACCACCAATATGTGCAAGCAGCAGATGAGAGGTTAAAGTCCACGATGGCACCCTTTCTTCTGAGCAGATGTCTTCCATGCACTTGTAGGTTAGCGCAGGATCAAACCTATGCTCTGGAGGACTTTAAGGGAGATTTAGATACTAAAAAAGAAAGTTTCACTGTGAGGGTGGTGAGGCGCTGGCACAGGTTGTCCAGAGAAACTGTGGCTGCCCCATCCTTAGAAGTGTTCCAAGCCAGATTGGACGGGGCTTTGAACAACCTGGTCTAATGGAAGGTGTGCCTGCCTATGACAGGGGGCTTGGAACTAGATGATCACTAAGGTCCCTTCCAACCCAAACCTTTCTATGATTCTGTGATATGTGTATCTGGATGAATGTGTTTTGGTGGTCAGCTGTAGCACGCATTTAAAAATCTGATTTAAAGGGCGCAATGCTGACTGCCACATTTTGTGGTCAGGTTGGCAGTGTAGGTTATGGAAGAAAATGTATTTTTCTCACTTGTGAAAAGCTGAATTTGAAGCCTACGCAGAGTGGCTTTTCTGGGAAAGCAAATTTTCTAGGAATGCCAGTTACAATTTTAGGAAGGAAACAATGTGGCAATTTTCAAATTCAAATCAAGTTTTGGCACAGAAGAGGAAAAGCAAGGCTTGAGAAGAAAAGGTCATGACAAAACACTATGAAACAGGTAAAAAACTGTTTTCTCTTTTTGTCTCCTTTCCCATCTCTTTTAAAGCCAGCTTCTCACTAGAAAAAATGCTATCTCTTCTAAACTTCGATCATGCTGTCAGTATAATGCAGGAAAGCACTGCCTGAAAATAGAGCTTTTCTTTTGCTAGAGGATAATTACTAGTTGTTCACTGTCTCAATATGAAATCCCAGTGAAGACTTGGATTTTACCGTGAAGATGCCAAAAAGCATCAATATTATAATATTATACCTTACACAGGAAAAAAAATATGTCCTCTGTCCCCTGGATAAACCACCACTTCTCTGGCAGACAAGGTAGATCATAACACCTCTCTCTTTCCTTTCACAAGATCTGATTTGAATTGAAAGCTCTGTAGGGTGGGAACATGTTAGGAACCACGTTAAATATGTGTATTGTAAAAAAAATGTTACAGCAACAGCGTTGGGGAAAAAATAAAAGGAAGAAAGAAAAAAATAGAAATCAAAGATTGGCATACCAAAGCCTCAAGTATAGGTCCCAGGAATGACAGTATAATTATTTTTAGAGATGACTATAGCAGTAACTCAACATGACGCGAGAGACCTGAGAAACAGCAAGCCTGATTTAAACCAATGGAAAAGCCAGGAATGCAGAATGGAGACTGTTCTTAATGCACCATATTGCATCTGAACATTTTGTTCCTACCCATCTATCCAAAGCATGACGTTTTGCATTTCATATTAACATTCTGAAGACATTAAAGGATTCTTCAATTTGATGTTCATATGCTGTGTCAGAACATGCACTCTGACTTCTTAGAGAGATATTATGTCTACCTTTTACTCATCTTCCCTCCTCAGCTTTCTGACTATCCTCCCTCCCCTCTCACTCCCAAAAAAATCCCTAGGGCTATTTTTTATTGGTAACATTATTTAGTTCAGCAGGAAGATAGTTACAAATACAGTTTGTGGGATTTGAACTTCACTTTGGATTTCTGCAATACCTCAGCTGTTATGCATATGTACTAAGACTGAATGCTAAGAAATCATTGCAGCAATACTTGATGTTCATATACAATTTCTCATCTTCAAAGCACTTTAAAATTTCCCAGAGGTTCTAGAAAATCTGGGAGAGGGAGGAAAAGATATGGGCAAAGCCTTTGTTTAGCATTGGTCTTATCATAAATCACAGTTAGTCCCTTTCTGCTTCACGCTACAGCAGGAATGTAGTCTTCAGATTAAAGTCTGAAGTGCTAAACAATGCTGAGTTGCCAGTAACACATTTTCCCTAAAAAGTATTTTAAATACTCTTTTTTCTTTTTTCCATACGGACAGCTCTGTTCAGAAACTCTGTTCTCACCTTTGAGTTCAAAACCAGGGAAACTTGTGACATTAGCATAACGTGCTGTGAGCTGATTTTAAGTATCGAAAAGGGCATTTTGAGAAAGTTTTGATAGCAAAAAAACCCAACCCATATTTCAAAACAATAAAACAACAAAGAATATAACCAGCAATCTTAACAAATTTTAAAATTTAATATAAAAGAAAACCCTGTTTTAAAGGTAAAACTAATAATTCTGCATTAATTCCTTCAGTGTTCAAACCAGAACAGTTAGCTTTTCCTAGCTGAAAGGAAGCTGTCACTAATTTGCTGGCCAGTGCTGGAAAGAGCAATCAAGAAAACTTGGAAGTGAATCATTACAGAGCTTTGCTTCTCCCAATCACGTACTAGGGGGAGAATTTTTCTCAACACGAGACCAAGTAAAATACTCTGCCCGCTTAAAATGTCAAACCATTGCTTTAGAAGAGCTCTGTGCCCAATGTGATCTGCGCTCAAACGAGCACACCCAGGCTACTGGCACCCAGAAGCAGCTAGTGGAATTTGCCTTCAGCTGCGGACTGCTCCCCACTGATGAGCGTGGAGGCAGTGCCTCTTCCCTGCATCAGCCAGCAGCAGCCCCTGAAAGTCAGGCAATGCCAAAAAAGACCTTTTAGGAAAATTGTTTCAAGCTATTTTGTTTTGACGGGGCTGAGTGAGGCTTGCAAATTTTTTCATTATCACCATGAAAAATGGGGATGAAACAAAACAAAAAACTAACTTGTTTTACTTAGTGAGAAACAAATATGAAATAGTAATGAATAAAACACTCTATTTCTCAAATATTCCACTAAACATGTAATCCAATCCAGCCTTTATGCTTGAAAGCATCACTTGTATTTAACATGCTTTCTAGGGCACAGAGATCTGTGACACAACAGTTAATACAGACTACAATTTTGAAACATAAATGTTTAACCAGTTCTTCTGAGGTAATTCATTTGATTGGATTCCTTTTGAGTTTGAAACATTTCTATAATGTCTGACAAAACATAGAAGCATTCTCAGATGAAAGGTTACATGCATTCCAGAAAATTTTCCACTGAAATCTAAAGGAACTCTGCTTGGGAATACTGTAAAAGTGCAAACTCTTCATTTATGCAATTTTAATATAGTGGAAATACAAGATGTGAAAGATATTAAATTAGTTTTAAAGCTTAAGAAGCAATTTAAAATGGAATAACATACATATTATTAATGAATAACTAGAGTGAAAAGTGTAATTATATGTTAACTAAATTAACTCATTATAACTGCAGTGCCTCAAAATGAGATTTTCTCCCTATGTATTCTTATTCTAGCAAGGTTTCATGAAAAACATAGGTGTAAAGCAGAAAAAGTTATATTTCACAACTGGAAAAAGGAAAGAGAACGAAACTACAGTATTTTTTTTTTCCTTTTAAATTAGGATTTCTTCTCAGATACAAACTGAACTTCAACATGTTTTAATTATGCATCCTTCTGTTTAGAATCTTCTACTTAATTCTAAACTAAACAACACCACTGGCAGAACACAGTAAATCTGAGGATCTGGGATGAACTATTTCTAGGTAAATGTTAACAGAGACATTTTCCTTTATACAAAAATAATTACGTTCCAGCAGGGGGCCAGTCTCCTGTGCGTGCCATCCCCTACTGTCCAATTCTGTGAAATTCAACATCACCTTTCTTATCTGGCTATTCAGGACTTTTTAATTTTTCTGCACTCGAAGTATAAGCTACTTCTTGCATTTGCAGCTTTTCATTTATGTCTGCCTGTAAAGAAAATCAGAAGAAAAAAACTGGTTATGATGGAACTATCTTAGGCTGCACATTGTCTTTGTGGTTTTGACACACTGTAGTGCAGTAAGACAGACATTATCCTACACAACTTCCTGTTCTGCAGGCGGAAAGGTGTTTCAGCCTGTACTTAAGTGATAACACTTTATCATATGACTGTGCACAACTCGATGCATGGTATGACTGCCATGAACAGGAACTGATCTGGAACAGCCATTTCTCATGTAATCTTGTTTTGGGAGATAGGCTAATTTGCCTGTATTTTCAAACAGCCTTTACCACTAAACACCAAATCAGAAAAATTGCTTTGGGGTTTGGTTGTTGCCACTGTTTTCCTTTGCTGCAGATGTTTGTTCTCTAGTGTAACACATTTGATTGAAACATTGCTGGAATTAGAAAGCATTACTGAAAATGAACAATAAAAAAACGTATTTCTGTGATGTTGCTTGTCTGTCTTAATTATAAACACAATTATGAATGTGCATCTGATCCTGGAACTCCAGACTGTTGTAGACATTGAGTGCTTAATTTACAGTGTAACATTTGTGGGGAAGGTACGAGGGTTGTGACATTTTTTAGTGAAATCTTTGGCAGTGATAATGCGCAGCAATCTTTAATTCTACAGAATTTGGAAATGTGGGATCACTGGGAAAAAGGCCACAAATACTGGGGCTTTATGGGGAATTTATGTGTATTTCTCAATATCAGAATTCATCATTGCAAAAATATGTGATAAATGGGAAGGACTACTATGACAATTTTTCCAAGAGTCACAAAGTTTTGTTTAAACAATTGGAACAGGCTCATAGGTCCTTTACAGACTCTGCATAAACTGTTCCAAAATTCAGAGTTACATTCTTAGTGGGCTTCATGTAATTTTGATAAAGTTAACTGATTTGGCCCAGAAAAGCTTGCAGTAACTTGCCATTTTAGGAAGTTTTTGGCTTACCGGTCCTAGAAATCCCTACTAGTGCTATACTGCAACCCATCAACACACAATGACAGCTAAAATGTTTTCAAAGTTCTCAGTAGCTCAGATTAGCATCAAAAAGCTGGAATTTCTGCCTCAACTTTTTAGCTTTGGGGACAGCCTTCACCATATTCAATCCACCCTCAAGTATCAATAAGTATGTCCCCATCCCTTCACATTACATGCATATTTCGTTGCTTTGCTGTGGAACACTAACCCTCCATGCCAATTCTCGCCCAGCCAATCCAGCTGACTTTCTTCTCCAGTTTTTACATCCCTCTGTCTCAGATTCTGCCTTCAGTGAAAATCAGCTGCCACCATGCTTCACTATGGTTGCTGTTGTGATGACTATCAGCACTGTGGCATCAGACTAAAAGTTATTTTCTATACTCAACTAGAGCAACAGCTGCCTTGTGCTCCCTGGAGAAATAATGCAGATTGTGAAATCACAGTTCACTCATAACAAAATGGTGAGTCTGACCATGTATCAGGTAAAAATCTACTTATTAGATTACCTCAAAGGTCAAGAAACTGAGAAATCAGGTGAAAAAGATACACTGGTGGAAGACTTACAAAAACTAAAATTGGAAAAAAAAAAGGTGTTTTTCTCATCTATGCAGTTTTTGTAAAGTAAAAAAGCTCATAGCACTGAAGCCAATGAAATCAAGGTCAAGTGAAAACCAGGCACTTAATTTTTTCTGCAGGTAGGGATAGGAACAAGACAACATAAGCAAGGTTCCTTCCTGTTTCTAAAGACATGTTAAAATGGAATACAAAATCAAATAGTTAGATCAAATGATGGCATCATTATTCAAATTCATATTCCCCAATTATACACAACCCATGTAAAGCAATTTATTAATACCACACTATTTTCAGGGAATATTAGATATTTAGAATCAGAGAATGGTTTGGGTTGGAAAGGACCTTAAGATCATCTAGTTCTAACCCCCCCCCACCACCATGGCCAAGGACACCTCACATTAAACCATGTCACCCAAGGCTCTGTCCAACCTGGCCTTGAACACTGCCAGGGATGGAGCATTCACAACTTCCCTGCGCAACCCACTCCAGTGCCTCACCACCCTTACAGTAAAGAACTTCTTCCTTATATCCAATCTAAACTTCCCTCGTTTACGTTTTAACCCGTTACCCCTTGTCCTATCACTACAGTCCCTAACAAAGAGTCCCTCCCCAGCATCCCTATGGCCCCCCTTCAGATACTGGAAGGCTGCTATGAGGTCTCCACACAGCCTTCTCTTCTCCAGGCTGAACAGCCCCAACTTTCTCAGCCCGTCTTCATATGGGAGGTGCTCCAGTCCCCTGACCATCCTCGTGGCCCTCCTCTGGACTTGTTCCAACAGTTCCATGTCCTTTTTATGTTGAGGACACCAGAACTGCACACAATACTCCAGGTGAGGTCTCACGAGAGCAGAGTAGAGGGGCAGGATCACCTCCTTCGACCTGCTGGTCATGCTCCTCTGGATGCAGCCCAGGATACGGTTGGCTTTCTGGGCTGCAAGCACACACTGAAGCCGGCTCATGTTCATTTTCTCATCAACCAACACCCCCAAGTCCTTCTCTGCAGGGCTGCTCTGAATCTCTTCTCTGCCCAACCTGTAGCTATGCCTGGGATTGCTCCGACCCAGGTGTAGGACCTTGCACTTGGCATGGTTAATCTTCATGAGGTTGGCATCAGCCCACCTCACAAGCGTGCCAATGTCCCTCTGGATGGCATTCCTTCCCTCCAGCGTATCAACCGAACCACACAGCTTGGTGTCATCGGCAAACTTGCTGAGGGCGCACTCAATCCCACTGTCCATGTCAGCGACGAAGATGTTGAACAAGATCGGTCCCGACACCGATCCCTGAGGGACACCACTCGTTACTGGTCTCCAGACGGACATTGAGCCATTGACCACAACTCTTTGTGTGCGGCCATCCAGCCAGTTCTTTATCCACCGAGTGGTCCATCCATCAAATTGATGTCTCTCCAATTTAGAGACAAGGATGTCATGTGGGACAGTGTCGAACGCCCTACACAAGTCCAGGTAGATGACATCAACTGCTCTACCCCTGTCCATCAGTTCTGTTGCTCGACCACAGAAGACCACAGAATTGGTTAGGCAGGAATTCCCCTGCCCATTGTGCACACTCCCCTCACCAGACCAGTGCAGGCACTCTCTACACTCCAAGCTCTGCACTGCAGCCTCCCCGCTCTTCTGCTCTGCCCGGTTCCGACGCTGCCACCGCCGGGGCAGCCAGGGCAGAGCTCCCAGACCGGGCCCTGGCCCTGGCCCTGGCCCTGGCCCTGAGGCGAGCGCTCCCCATGCCGCTCTCTACCCGCTCCCGCTGCCGGCGCCAACTGCCGCATCACGCCCTATTCCCGCGCTCGCTGGGGCGGGTTTTCCCCGCTCAGGGCGGTGCCGTCCCTCCTGGCACCGCCCTCTGTGAGTCCCCGCTCGCGTCAGTAGAGCTGCCGGCTCCTGGGCACGGCCCGGCGGGGGCTGGAGGCTCCGTGGGTGGGTCTCGCTGCTCAGAGCTGAGGCTCCGGTATGCGGGGTTTCCCCTCGCTCCGGTGTTGAAGACTGCCCTATGGAGACACCCACCTCGGGAAATCCTAATTTAATAACTTTTATATTAATGATAATTATATTATTTCATAATTTAATAACCTGCTTTGTCAACAGTGTCCAGTGCACTGTATCTAAAGTTTAAAGTGCTAATGGCACTTGTTTGTTGCAAGTAAGACCAAATTCCACCAGTTCCTTAGTGGAACTGAGTTCTAGCTGGTTTGCTTTCAATAATTTTATACACTTGAGGGAGTAGTTTACAAAAGAACAATGATGTACTCTGCTGGGTTTCCACATGTTTCAATTTACATATCTCCTCGTAGGGAAGCAGGTCACCCTACAACAAATTTAAGTCCATTCACTGACAGTAGCTTCCTTCCGTTTCATGAATCCCGCAGAAAGAACTCAGACTCCTCAGGGTTTGCAGACCAGGGCCACCTGATGTGTTCCATTAAGGCAGCTCTTGTAGAGTAGTTACACACCTACCAAATCAAGTCTAGAACTGGCATGAATGTGTTATTTCTTATGCATATTGAAGGATGTGTAACATAGATGCATCTAACAATTTATATTAAGCACACATTGCTCCATCGCATTGCATATGCTCCATCACAGCAGCTGATCCTGAACCACTGAAGAGGAATTTTACCACTGACATCACTGAGTGCAGGATTTGGCCCATGTTTCTTAACACATAGTAATGCTGAAGATATATGTTGTTATATTACTGAATATTTTTTATCTTATCACATGTAAGCTGACTAAACTAGGAGTTATTTATAGAGGCTAATTCACATTTTTACAGCATATGGATGTGCTTTTTGCCAGCTTTAGCATGAATACAGTTTATATTCATTAAGGCTGAGCTATCTAATTAACTATAGACAAAATCAGTGAATAGCTTTCTAATATTAGTACCTCAAGGTTGCCAATAATTTCATTTGGGATTTCGTACTCTGCGGACTTCTGATCTTCGGCTGTGACAGCAGCCACAGAATCTACCTCAAAGGAATCTGCCTCTGGACAGAGCTCTTCCCCTTGATCAGATTCCTCTTGATCAGAACCCTAGCAGCAACCAACCACAAGAAATGTGTGAGTTACAACATTATCCTGCTGTCTACAAGACCAAACAGTGTCAAGCCTGAAGACATGCAACAAGACATGATGCCTGCTTTTGAGAACTCCTGCTCTGACAGAGACCATCAGTGTCTCTCCCTCACTGCCCAGGCCAGGCAGATCCTGAGGTTATGAAGTTGCATGGCTTGAGAGCTCAGAGGTGCTGAGTCAAATAAATGTCCTCTGCTAACTGATTAACGCATTAGAAGTAATTTCATTCAATCTTAGGAGAGAATGCATGCTATGTTCTTGAGAGTAGATGTCATTAGTGTCTGGGCTCCAATGAGAAATAAATGAGGTAGGAGACTCATTGAAAACTATCTTAAAAAAAAAAAACAACAAACAAAAAAACGAAGAACAAAACTCTCTACCTTAGATCCTGTCTCTGCAGCTGTTAGGGATGTTATGAATGATGAATAGATACCCGAAGGTATGCCTTCTTCCAGCAGAGCAGGGAAGGGAGGATCTGCAGGTTCAGCAAGTTCAATCGCAGACTGGCAATATTAAAAAAAAAAAAAAAAAGTAAGAAAAAAAAAGTAATTCAAATGCAATTATTGCTCAGAGGTTTATTGCAGATTTTTCTAAGTGGAAACAAAATGGCTGCAAACAACAAAAAACAATACCGTTTTTGCTACTATCCAGGTGCTCAGAACTGGAAAGCATACTGAAAATGATTATAGATCAGCTTTAATTTCTAGCTGCATCTCAAGGGGCCTTCTTTATAATACTTGGCAAGAACAGATGATTTTGATAATTTCATAACACTACAGCATCTTACTCATGTGGATAATTAAGTTTAGAAAACACAGTGCCTAGATAACATGCAGTCTTCCCAATAAAAATATGTCACTTCTGAACAGGGATCTGGTTGCATTTTGGAAGTAAAGGACTCAGCTGACCACTAGGGTACTCTATCAAAGGAATCAGCTTGAGTAAAGTTGGAATAACCCTGCATCAAGTAAGGCCCTAAGAAATATGTGGCTATAATTTAAGAGTTGTCAACGGTACAAGTTTTGCTGCTTCATCATGCTTGCTCCCACTTCTCTTTCCTGTAAACATGGGAACCTCACTGGTATTCTGCTGGCATGTGAACTGTGGCTCCAGGAATGCTCTGACAGGGAAATGGCTTTTCCCCTCCGAAGTAGCTGGATGCAGTACTTATTCTGTGCTTGGGCTCTTGTGAGTGATGCAGAAGGTGGCCCTGCATCCTCTAAAGGGACAAGGGTTTGTGTCTTTTTTTGCATGTGTGGTTTTTGTGGGTTGTATTTTGGTTTGTTTTTTTTTAATTGATGAGAGAGAACAGGGGGACAAATTTTTTGAACAAGCAAGGAACAGTGTATAATACTAAAATGGTATATCTAGGGCCTCTGCAGTGGGAAATGCCCACTGAGAATACCAGGCAGATGTTCCAGTTCTGAGTCAGCTATTACAAACATGTAACTACATTAATTCACATCAGGGTAGTTGCAGCTCCCATGAATTAATTTCCTCATACCTTTGAAATCACAGCTAGTTTGATATTTGGTTTGTTTAGTTACTTGCTACAATTAAACACGCCGAAAATATTCAAGGGTCTGTACATTTGCAAAAGTCATAACAAAAACTGAAAATAAAAAGTGAGACCTAGCCATTATATTTTATCACATTAAAAATCTCTTTTGTAGTTCTGGAAATTGTTCAGAAGTTATGTTTGGACTTTGTCTTTTTCTTCAAGATTTCCTGTCATGTGTGAGCTCACTAAAAAAAGTAGACGGTATTAACTCATGTTTATAAGAACCCAAGAGCCTGACAGGAAGATTTCCTGAATTTAAGTAAGAAGAAAATCAGATTTTATAGAAACATTTTTCTGTATCACTAATGACTCAAATTTTACATTGTGCTAGTGCCTACAGACTCACAAAAGGAATAGTTGGAAAGTATAGTTTGCGCATCAAAATGCAAAAACCTTGAGTTGAGCTAAATGTTATTTCTAAAATAAAAAGAAACTTTAATCTCAAATTCCTAAAAAAAAAACCCCACGAAAAAACCCAAATCCAAAAACCTAGAGCTCTTTTGATTTAGCAAATATTTAAATTTTCTCTGTTTCTTACCTTATATTTTCTTATTAAAAATATAAACTGAATTGGATGAGAATTCACAATTACTTTCTGCTTCCTTAAAATAACATATTTTTGGTTAGTTAGTTAACTATTTACTCAAAATAATTTCTTAATTTAGATTAAATCATTGTTCCATTTATTCCCTCCAGTTCAAATTTCAAAAAAATTTAATGTAAAAAAACTAGACTGGGCTTTTAAATCATTTTCTGGATGATGAAATACAGTTTTGTAGCACAGATAAGATTTTCAGAGGTCCTCTTTCAGAACAATATTTTTACTTCACTGCATTCTTTTTAAAAAGAGCCATTCTTTACTCATCTGTTCCATGCTAATAATAACCCTTGGATCTTGAAGAAATAACTAAATTACAGCAGAACTAGTCTCTTTAATGAGCCATAATAGTCTCAGCATTCAGCCAAAAGTTTTTTTTTAAAAGACTGTGAAACTTCAATGTTGAATATGAAGTATTTTGTTTAGTAATAATAAATTTATGAGCAGTACTACAGTTTACAGCCAAAATATAGTGACCTAAAAATGCCATTCTGCATTGCTCCTTCATATACATTGTGTCCTTAACTAGTCCAGGGGAAAATTAGAACGAATGAATTGTGGTGAGAGCCTGAAGCCAACGAACGTATTTAAACGAATCCTTCTGATGCAATACTTTCCTTAAAAAAAAAAACACAAAAAAACCCCTCAAAAAAACCAATTAAGTCTTTGTATTTCCTTTGAACAAAACCTCATGTTTAATAGCGCCAATGGCTCTGTAGTAAAATCTATTTAAAAACAGAGAAGGAGACACAGTAAGTTTTATACAGTTACAGTGGCTTTAAAAAACACATTGTTAGTTTCTGAAGTCTGAGTATATTTATGGTGAATTAATTCCACTGACCCACATTAAAAAATTCATCCTCCTTTTTTTTTAATTCCTGAAGATCTGTCATTATGTGAGCATTATTCACTATGACAAAGATGTATTACTGAAAGTGTCCTCTTGAATCAATATAACTATAGAAATGTGAGAAACAGTTTGGCAAGATGATAAAGCCTTAAAATTACTGGGAATATTTTCCTCCACATTGCAGCCCAATGGATGCATGAGAATTCAAACATAAAGAAATCATAAGGCAGTTGCATAAATGTAGATGGTGTATTAGTGTCAGCTGCAGATAAAAGGATGCTCTTAAAGAGACTGGAGGAAGCAGAAGGTAATAGTCTTATATAGTCTAAAGCAATAGTCTTACTAATTCCTAGATGTGGTGGGGTTCCAAAAGGCCACTTGAATCTGGACAAGTTAGAGCAGGCTAGAGGCTGCTCTAACATTCAGGAGAACTTAATATAGTAAATACTGTTCAGTATCAGCTTTACTTTCCCACCCCAGTATCAAATGTATAGCCCCACGCCACTGTTTTTCTCTGGCATTCTTTCTAGTAAAAGCTTGCATAAAGAGAGGCAAGTATCAAAAGTGTCATGTTGTTCTGTATGTAAACCCACATAGCTTTCTTGTTGTTAAGAACTAGCAAATTACCTTTTTACAAATGTAGGCAGAGCAAAGACAATAAAATAGCATACAGGAAAATTTTTAAAACAAAATAATGTCAGGAAAGAAGATTGGTAAAGCATTCTAATAAACGAGTTCCACAGATGTGGCTGTTACTATAAAATTAGCTTTGCATAACTTACCAATATGCCATTACATTTTCCCCCAGATGTTTATCTGTTACTTAAATTAATTTTGCTTAAGTTACTATTATCACAGATTTTATCCATGCTGTATTTTATTATTTAAGTTTCTGTGGCATAAAACAAGCTCTGGCTGATAGCATTACTTTTAATACCATATGTAAGAGGTTTTAGTATTATACAAATGGCTGCTGGGTATATCTTGGTATATCTTAGTAGTCATAGCACAGAATGTCTGTTCTCAAAATATTATGTAGATTAAAACCAGCTATTTACTTACACTCTAATTCAAGTCATTGGAAAGGTTTGCAGTATTTATGTATGTGGTATGAAGGGAAACAATCCACTCCGGGAATGAATATCAAGAGTTTGGAAATTGGCAAAGCTAAGGTCAAGGTCAGTTTGGATTTACTAACATACTTGCTGAAAATTAGAATTTATAGTTTATGTTTACTTATTTCAGAAATGAGAAAAGAGACTGAGGGGGTGGTGCGTTTGCTTTTGTAACACAGAAACATTTCAAAACCACCATTTCAGTTTAATATTATCTGAAATTCTGTACTCCATTCCACAGAGTCTGAAAAAATTCTCTGTAGCTAATCTTACCAAACATAGGAAAAACAATGATTTATAAGCATTGGAAAAAATATCCCAAGTTCAGCACGGACCATTTCTAAAGCCTTGTAACATCTTTCAAAGCCTTTCAATGGCTTTCCAACTGATAGGGATTTGATTTTATATGAATGGCAGGAGCATTTTAAAAAGGGTGTTCTTTGTGAGTCATTCTTTATATTTGTCTCATCTGTGTATTTCTAACAGTATGCCACAGGACTTTGTGCTACCAGGTACCTGCACAGACCTCTCTCATATACATACATATATATATATATATATGTATATGTATATGTGAGATCTGCTATGAAACAAAATATTTAATACAGGATTTACATTAGTTTGCCATTCATGCTAAGCATGCCCAGCTGCACACCTATAAATGTGCTGAATTTCAGTTGCTGGAATAAAAGGCATTTCATGATATTGTTTGTTAGCTGCCTGTATTTCATGTGGTTGAATTTGAATGAATAACTAATGGACGGAGATGCACTGCCACACTGACTCAAACCTGCCTTCCTCCCCACCTTTAACCTGCCAGCATATGCAAACACAACAAATCCACCCTACTTGCCTTCTAAGGCATTGCCCTCCAGCCTTCTCACAGGAGGTTTTTCTGGGAGGCTCTACAAATTGCTCTACAAATATATTTGCCATCCTATTCTGCAGCAGTGCTATATCCAAGGTCCAAAGGACTGAAGGATATTTTGAAGCATTTAAAAACTTAATCCAGATGTATGATCTATGTTGTGTGATTAAGATGGCAGAGCTTCCTTCTGAACGCCTTCACTGTACACATTTGTATTAATATTTAAAGTAGAATTAAGATCAATGAGGAATTAAACTTGGACTCTGAATTATGTTCCCCAGTTGCTAATGATACACATGGAAATTCTGTGTGCATGTTCCTGGGAAGGAGCTTTCAAACCACTATTTCTCAAATAAGACAAAAGTTCAGTAAGTCAAACACATACTTTATGCCCTTTTCCCTGCATTTCAGAATTCAAGTTAATACTTTCAAAAGAGAATTTTCCATGTTTCTGAGACGAGATGTGAATCAACTTTGTTGACAATACATCAGTAATTAATCTAGTCCAAAA